CATTTAGTCCAAAGCAGAGCGTAGCAAAATCATTGATTTGGAGCAGGCGTGGCTCGCTCTTTGGAGCATCGTTCATTACTTTTTAATATAGAAAGCTAACGTTAGGTCCAATTGAATTTTCAGTTAATCCATTTAAAAATTGATCGATCAAACCTTTTGCACCGTAGAGGCACTCGCACTCTAGTGAATCTTCAATGAAAACACGGAGTGTGGCTCAACGGTGCGAAATTGTTGAAGTTTGGTCGGGAAAATACTATCATCAATCTATCTGTGTTAAGATGCATTGACTGAAAATTCAGTTGAACTTAACGTTAGCATTCCATGTAAAAAAAAAAGCAATGAGCGAACCATCTCTGATTTGGAAGAAACAAAACCCGGAAAACGAAGATGCCTTCTTGATTTAATCAAAGTTGTCGTTGAGCTGTTTTGTAATTTCTATGTTTTATAATCTCAAAGTGTAGCGGAATTGCTAGCATTGTACAACCCCCCCCTCTATCCTCCTATCAGAGCGAACAAGCGCAGTTACCACCTGTTACCATTAAACTACAAAATGGGAAACAAGCATGATCATCAAAGAAGATGTACATCAAATGTACTCACGTGTCTTAAGTGTAAGTAGGAGTCTCTCTAGTTTTCTAAGACCAAGCAAGTCTAGTGATATGGAATAAGTATTTTTATTGTCAGTAGATCCTTTTGTTAATTTCAAATTTATCCTACGTTTACGTGCAATTGGTTCAATTTAGATTTTAGCTACGCCTTCGTTTTCAATATTTAATAGTTTACGTTAAACGTACTTGTGCTAGGAGGACTGTTTGGGAGAAAGAATCATTGAACCACAATATTCTTCTGTGAACACACAGACTAACACACACACACAAACACAAAACAAGAAACCAAATTTTAATTTTGCATTCCTGTCAAATCTAAGAAGCGGTATGGAGAATGGTAATTTTTGTATTGTATGAGCCAGAGCCGAAGCGGGCGTACGAGACTAGTGAAATAAAGTGGAAATTTGAAATGTTTTTTTGGGGACTGATTTTGATTTATTCGAAATTCCTTAATATACAAGCCATGCGGTGCAATTCAACTTACATTCTAGAAGGTATTCACCCATATTCTCGTTTTCGTTTGAACCGTATTTTCCTGTTGGCGATCAAGTCATCGGTGTTCAACGAGGACCGTTCATCACAGCAACCCATATTCATATTCTTTTGTGTGTCATTCCTAACTCAACATCCATCCTTACCAGACGTTCAATAAACTAGTTATAAAATAAATTGGAAGATCCGCGTTCAGGTGTACCTCGAAGCCTCGAATGTATGGGATGCAGTGGTGAAGGATTTGGCAGCGGTAGCAGCAGAAGCGGTCAACCCACTTAACAATTTTCGCAATGTAAACGCTTTATTCATTTCATTTATACAGTCTCAAGCTGTATTTAAATGTTATACCACAGAGAACAGACATCCAAGTCAAATTCTTAAAGTGTGTAAGAAATTTAGACATTTGAAACTAGCAATATCGTGGTGGCGCTAGTGTCGCTGCCCATCGACGTCGATGACCGGCAGACGTCATCTTAACATGATGTCAAAATTGTTGTGAGCAAAACATTGTTTGTTAAAAACCGATCAGAACATGGGCCGCAAGTGCGAGTTTTATTGGTGCGCAAATAGACAAGGTGTTACCAAGTGAAAATCTTTTCACAATTTTCCTAAGGATCCTGAATTGCCCGAACTACAGGAGATTTTCTTCTCACGTGAACTCCAAGCGCTTGCAACGAAAAGGTTATGTTCCGACCTTTTCCCCCGGAGGCTTTTCGAATTCCTGGAAGAACGGATGCAGGGCAAGCAGTGTTCAAATCTTACCACATTTTTCTGAATTTAAATGAGGGCTAGTTGGAGTTCACACCCTCACTGAATCATTTGAAGATACGCCGCCAGTGAACTCAAGAAAAGTCAGTTTTGCTCCTGACACTATGCCCAGTTAAAATTGGAACGAAAAACGGTTGTAGATCTACAGGAAACTTAGGCCTGAACCATTTGGCGATTTTTTTTAACTTTAGGTTAAAATTTGACACAATGAAAGTTATTGATTAGCCCTGCTATCCGAGCATGGTTATTTCTGACAGACAAGAAGATAAATTTTGACGACCATGGCTCGAAAACCGGTCGATCGACAGCACGGGATTTTCGAACATGGGAAATAACTTTCGAAGTGTCACTTTTAACCACGAGTTAAGGCTCTGAACCATTTGGTGGATTATTTTAACTTTTGGTTAAAATTTGACAGATGGAAAGTTATCGATTAACCCTGCTATCCGAGCGTGGTTATTTCTGACAGACAAGAAGTTAAATTTTGACAACCGTGGCTGAGTTCTGCTCGAAAACCGGGTGATCGACAGCACAGGGATTTTCGAACATAAGAAAAAACTTTCGAAATGTCACTTTTAACCACGAGTTAAATTTAACTCGGCAAATGGTTCACAACCTAAATTTAACTCAGCAAATGGTTCACAGCCTTAGGATTATTTTAACTTTTGGTTTAAATTTGACAGATGGAAAGTTATCGATTAACCCTGCTATCCCAGCGTGACAGACAAGAAGTTAAATGTTGACAACCGTGGCTGAGTTCTTCTCAAAAACCGGTCGATCGACAGCACAGGGATTTTCGAACATCAAGAATAACTTTCGAAATGTCACCACGAGTTAAATTTAACTCGGCAAATGGTTCACAGCCTTACACGGTAAGAAAAAAGTACCCAACGGCCAGTTCACCAAACGTTAACATTCATTACATATGATTCGCAATCCTAGCCGCATAGCTTACCCCCTGGAAGAATTTATGATCGATTGTCAATTCCAATTTGGCATGAGATTTTGACATCCAGTTGCTTTTTAATTGGGTCATGGCCCAACCAACGGAGGCGCAACTAAAAAGCAGCCCAAGTATTAAAAGCCCAACCAGCGAATTTGGGCTGTAATTGATCAATCTTGTAAAAATATCCAAGGGGCAAAGTTCAGTGATCGTCTCTGAATTTGCATTAACTTCAAAAAAATTAGGAACACTTTGAAGAAGTACCATTAACCGTGGGGAAATATCGAGAGCTCTTCGTAGAAGAATTATGAATATTAAGAAAACTTCGAGAGCTTAAGGAAACTCCATGAATTTTAGGGAAGTCTAGAGAACTCTAATTTATTGAGAAGTTTAAAGAACTTCAAAGATCTTCAAGAGATTCTTCAGACAACTCGTACATTTCAGGAAAACTGTTGAAAACTTCATCGAAGATCTAGAGTAGTTTTAGGAGAACTTCAGAGTAGTTCTGGCGAGAACTTGAGTAGTTCTGACGAGAACTTCAGAGTAGTTCTGAGGAGTCCTTCAGAGTAGTTTTTAGGAGAAGTTGAAAGTAATTCTGAAGAGAGCTTCAGAGTAGTTCTGAGGAGACCTTCAGAATTTCTGAGAACTGCAGAGAAGTTCCATTGGCCTCAGGAAAATTTCGGGAAATTTATGAAACTTCCCGGGAGCACCCGGACATGTCTGACCAGCGTGGTCCTCAGTACTTAAGGTCACCAATGTTCTTATTTTTGAATTCTCATTTGATGTGTCACATGAGGATGTAGGTCCAAGTTTTACTTCTCCGGGGGTATCCAGAACGTGTCCGGATCTTGCCAACGTGGTCTTCAATACTTAATATGGACAAAAATTATCATAATTTTTTTAATTCTCATGTAATTTCAAGCTGAACATTGCATTAGGTCCTAAGTAACATTGACAGATTCTCTTCGTCGACTTTCTCTTTGCATCCTCACGGTCATGTAAAGACATTCCCAGGTATTTTCAGCCCATAAATCGATATAAGAAGCTTTTATCTTGCATGCAATACGGCAAACAAATCAAGAAACGGTTCTGTGAATAAGTTATTAACGAAAGAGAAAGTCGACGAAGAGTATCGATCAATGTTACTTAGGACCTAATGCAAAGTTCAGCTTGGTTTGATGTGTCGCATGAGGGTGTAGGTTCAAGAAGGATCTGACCACTTCCTCGGGGGTACCCAGAACATGTCCGGATGCGGCCATAATTTTTCTGATCTTGCATGGTTAAATTTTTTTTTATTTTCTCTATTTTGGAGATTTTCGAATCTTGCATGATTATTTGGTTCACGTCTTGAAGTTTCTGGTTAATTCAAAATTACAAAAAATACATCTGAAAACATTGAACACTTCCCAGGTTGCCGCTCAACCGCACCGCGTTTTTCCAAAATGTTAAAAAAGCGGGTTTTAGTACAATGCCGCTTTTGCCGCAACGCGCTCTGTGAGTTGTCAAACGGATTTCAGTGTATTGGAAAATGTGTGCATGCCGCTATGCCGCTATCATTGTGTTCAGCCCTTAACTCAACATCCATCCTTACCAGACGTTCAATTAACTAGTTATAAAATAAAACTGATCCTTTCCTGGCTATCGAGAAATATGGCCCTCAATATTTCCTTACCCAAAAACTTTTTTTTTTGTATGAAAAATACGGAAACAAGAATAAGAGTGAATATGTTGTTCGTATGTCACGCTATAACTCGAGAACGGATTGTTAGATTTGGAGTACCCAGTCAGGAGACTCAGGAGTATGTTTGAAGAACTTCTAAGGAAAAATCATAATTTAAAGATATCTCAGGGAGGTTTTTCTATGTTAGCTTTTGTACTAAAAAAGTGCATAGTTTAACTTCCTTTTTCCCATGTAGTCTATTGAACTTACTGGACATGTAGCACGGATGCTGGAAGAGCGGCCGGTGAACGTAATATTCGACATAGAACCCGGATGAGGTTGTCAGGACCGTGTCCAATGTAAAATAAATCTCCGTTCGGCTTAGGTTCAACGTATTTTCCCCTGTCACGGTGCCAACCAGGTATACAGTATTCCTCCCTTTAAAGCATATCGATATCAGACTCATCTGGCCCTTTTGGTCACAGCCTAAGAATTCTTCAAAACCTTAATTGAATCGCAAAACAGCAAATTAAATTATAATCCTATATTGGTTTATTTCGTTGAATAGTCAAAAAATAGTTACAATAAAGAAAACCAATACATATATGTATATACTGTTCCAATAAATCCGACCTTCTATTCATTCTCTTTCTTGCGAACTTCTTTTATATATAATTCCTTGGCATCCTTGGCCACTCACGCTTGATTCCCAGAAAGTGAGAGAAAGAGACACTTATGTCACGAAAGAATCCCTATCTACTAGCTCCAGTTGCTCAATCATCGGCCGTAATCTCTCTGCAGTCTAGCAATACAAAGCGCTCTACCACCCAAGACAGGACTTTAGGATTCCTATAAACGATTTTATTTTCTTCTTCAAAATATTAAGTACCACTAGCAACTAATGATGATTTCGTCCTTAAAAAAGTTTAGTATTTTGCTTGTTTTGTTTTGTCTTGTCGCTGTTCTGTTGCACTTTCTGTTTTCTAGCAAGCGAAAATTGAAGCAATTTCTGCACGAGTGTTTCAAAAATACTTATTTTTAGATACGATTCACTTACATTGTTTACGGTTCGATAAAAAAGCTATCGAAAAATAAAATCTTCCTTCGCAATATCTTCCTTTTTTACTTATTGCTCACATACTCTAATTGTAACCGCGAAAAACGAAATACGCAGGGAAAATGTTACATACGTTAAACACATGATTTCGGGATTACGAATTCGGAATTTCCATTCTAGAGAGAATACACTGAAATCTGTGCTAAGACTTTGATTGCCCAATTATAATTCTAAGGAGATTCGATTCACGAGGGAAGCAACAAACAAAACGATGATTTTTTTAAACTCAATTCGATGATGGCACTCGAAGCTGACTAAACATTTTTCTTGTTTCCAAGCTGGCTGCCGAACCTAGGGAGACATTTAAACAGCATTTTTTTTTTTCTTCTGACAAACTTGTGCTGGATGATTTTTGTACTTTTTTGATTTAAATTTCACTTAGACAAAAATGATCCCTTCACGGTAGAGAGAACGAGTGTGTAATGCCTGAAAATGATGAGCGATCCGCTTTTTTGTGTTGTTTATTTGAGTTTTGTGTCATGCTATATCGTAATAAAGTAGGTATGTCTAGTTTTTCGTTTTCTTGCAAAAATGACAATCAACTTCTAAAATATTAATCCACATTGCTTATTTTCGTGCGATTGCAATATTCTACACAAGGGAGTTGTGCGTGGACGTGGACGTTGTTGGTTGTGAGCTAGCCCTAGAATGGAGGTGAATTGGCTCTGAGTTGTAGAACTTCTCTGTATCGCACTGCGCCCGGAAACATACCACCACTCCACACCCACCGGGGAGGATCTAGATTAAAATTTCCCGAATCCATTGTCACTTTGCCCGCTGTAAGCTTTATTTCTGTGCCTGTATTTTGGCCTGCATCTGGGCGAGCTTTTCTTGCATCCGACGGATTTCCTCCTCCTTTTCGCGCAGGATTCGGTCCTTGTCGGAGGACATCATCTCGTTGGAGGTGCCGTTTTCGTCCTTGATAATCGGGTTGGTGTTCTTGCGCACCGATTTGGCCAGTCGTTCCGAGCGGTAGTTTTCGTAGTGCACCTCCTGGGTTACCTCCTGCAGGTCCTGCATGTGGGTGCTGGAAGAGAATTACGAGGGATTTGTTGAATTAGTGGGAACTGGCGCTGCAACGATCGCACTCGCACTTAACATGATGGTCTTGAATTTTAAATCGCTTACGCTATTTCAGTTGTTTATCAGGAAGTTCCAAAGTTCATGATAAATTTTGATGAATCGTGGAATCAAATCAAAGGAGAAACATGCGAGAGGATTCCAGAGTTAAATGGAACTTCCATCGAGGTAATTTCTAGGACAATTCTCGAGATAGAGACGATGTACCAATGTATCAGTCATGAATATAATATCCCATTATGATTTGTTCCAAACATGTGAATTCCATAATAAGAACGTTGGCGGGTGGTACAAAATATCGAATTTGATGTTTGCCTTATTCTTCACACCAAGTACGCCAATGTTGCCTGCTGAGCAGTTGATGGAGCATGTCAGAAGAATATGATCTTCCTAATTAATTTATAATTTATAATTTCCCTGACGTTCAATTTAAATGGCAAAAGGTTAGGCCGAGGTGAACAAAAAGTTCACTTTTTACGTAGTAATAGCAATACCCATATCTATAAACTTCAAAAGGGATAGTACAGTATGAGCTTAAATTTTGGGAGAATGATGAGAACCTGATTTTGAAGCAATAGAGCGGGGTGGAGAAAAATCTATGTTTTGACCCACTCCAATAGCACAGAGAACAGACGTCCAAGATCAGTTGGAAGCTAGTGTAAACTTTTATCAAAGTGTAGCGATCGGACACGGAATAAAGAACGATTAGTTACGAAATACTTAAAATCTTTATTTTTACTTTCAATAGAAAAACAACCACGTTCGCGCGTTGATAGCTGCGTAGCAAAGATTGACAGCTTGAGTTCTTTTTCTTCGACGACGACCCGATGGAAGCCAGGCTGACCAGTGTTGCCAGGCGATGCCACAGGGCCCCTCCAGTTACACCAAAAATCTTACGCGATGTCCAGATTGTGTAACTTTCGTACGATGATCATCTTGAGGATATTTCTGCAAATCCGGATTACAAGTGAAAGCCGCTTTTATTCGGTCGACTGAAATGCGCTGCTGTTTTCCAGAAATAAGTACGTCGAAGAACGTATCATCTCGTCTTATTACCTTGAATGGACCTTCATAAGGATGCTGCAACGGTCGCTTCACAGAATCCACTCGTACAAATACATGTGTACATGTTTTCAAATTGGCGTTGACAAAAACTTGTCGTTCTCCATGACGTTTAGTATCGTGCGGTTTTATATTGTCGAACGTACGGTGAAGCATTTGGGCAAACTCTGATCGGTCGATATCTCCAGGTGCAGACTGAAAGAATTCACCAGGAATCCGTAAAGCCTGACCGTAAACCATATCCGCAACCGAGCACTGCAGGTCGTCCCTAAATGCCACCCTTAGTCCCAGAAGAATCATTGGAAGTTCGTCGTACCAATTCTTAGAGTTTACACACATTATCGATGCTTTCAATGTTCGGTGAAAACGTTCTACGATGCCGTTCGCTTGTGGGTGATAGGCATTCGTACGAATATGGTGAACACCTAACATTCGCGTTAACCGAAAGAGATCGGACTCAAATTGTCGTCCCTGGTCGGTTGTCAGGTTTTCTGGGACTCCAAATCTTGCTATCCATGTTGAGTACAGTGCTTGAGCCACAGATGCTGCAGTCATATCGACAAGTGGAACCGCTTCGGACCATCTGGTAAAACGGTCAATCATGGTCAGTAGGTAGCGGTATCCTTGTGACGGCGGCAAAGGACCAACCAGATCAATATGAAGGTGTTGGAAACGAGCCTTCGGTAGGTCAAATTTTCCCAACGGAGAGACGGTATTTCGATGCACCTTCGACCGTTGGCAGTCGACGCAGTGTTTGACAAACTCATTTATTTCACGGTTCATAGCTGGCCAAACGAATCGCTCGGAGATTAACTTCCTGCTGCCTCGTGCTCCTGGGTGAGAAATTCCGTGTAGGCATACCATGATGGTTCTCCGTTGAGTACTTGGAACGGAAGGTTGTGGTTTTCCGTTCGAGACGTCACAGTAGATCGGTTGAGAACAACCACTCATCCGTTTTGCTTCAAATTTCAGCGAAGTAGATTTGGATTGCATCAACTGCTGAAGCTCTGCGTCGTTTTTCTGCTTTCGTCCGATTTCTTCATAGTCCACCGAAGTAGGCGCTAGTATACTCTCCACACGAGACAATGCATCGGCGACGTAATTTTCACTTCCACTGACATGTTGTATATCCGTAGTAAATTCCGAGATAAAACGTAGGTATCGTTCTTCATGCGGTAGCCGAGAGCTGGAATCGGTTGTTAGCGCGTATGTTAGTGGGCGATGGTCAGTGAAGATCGTGAAGTTGCGTCCTTCAAGGAAGTGCCGAAAATATTTCACAGACATTTTCATCGCAGTCAGTTCACGGCCAAAAGTAGAGTATTTCGTTTGGGACATCGAAAATTTTTCGGAATAAAATCCGAGTGGTTCCCAATTCTGACCATTTAGCTGCTGCAAGACAGCCCCCGCAGCAATATTTGAGGCATCGATCATCAGAGCTAATGGTTTCGACGAGTCAGGATAGTGAAGCAGTGATGGAGTGCGGCCGCTCCCGTCACGCGTCCAAGCCATTATGGACTACGAGAAACCGACAACAGTCAAGGAACTCCGTCGCTTTCTGGCACTCGCCAACGGCTACAAACGCTTCGTTCGTCATGCATCCGACATCCAAGCTGAGTTGCAGAAGCTTATTCCCGGGAACAGGAAAAACGACATACGTAAACTACAGTGGACAGATGCAGCTTCATCAAGCTTCGAGCGTTGTAAAAAATCATTAGCGGAGACAGCACTGCAGGTTCTGTCCGGAATCATATCACTACTTGTGACCGGATAACGGTCAGGTGTAGTGATATGATTTAAGCGACGGTAGTCACCAACGAAACGCCATTTCCCGTTCTTTTTCAGCACACAATGCAAAGGACTTGCCCAACTGCTACTCGATGGTCTGCATATTCCTAGGTCACACATAAGGCGAAACTCTTCCTTAGCAGCTTTAACTTTGTCCGGATGCATTCGTCGAATTTTAGACGCCACGGGTGGTCCACGATAAACTATGTGATGGGTTACGTCACACTGTGTGACAGAACGAAGCGTCGATGGCAGAGTTATTTCCCGGTACTCCATTAACAAATCGTGGAACGGATGATCGGCACCAACAAGTGTTACACTGTGCAGAGCAGCAGTCATCATACCTCCAGAAGACTTCCATCCTGTCTGGCCATCTATCAGTTTTTGGTTTTTCAAATCGACGAGTATGCCGAAGTGCGCCAAAAAATCAGCACCGATTATTGGCATCGTCACTTTAGCAACGAGGAAATTCCAGGTGAATCTTCGTCTCAATCCTAGGTCAACAGGAATAAATTTCGTTCCAAATGTCCGAATTCTACTTCCGTTGGCTGCGTGGAGCTGTTGTATAACGGTACCGTTCAATCGATCTCTCCTGGAGGCAGGCAATATTGTGACGTCCGATCCAGTGTCGATTAGAAAGCGTGTATTGTTCGTCCTGTCAAAAATTACCATTCGGCGACTTTCCGACACTCCGGCCACCACCGCCCATGATGGTGGGGAGGATGCTAGTTTTTTGAGCTCCATGAACACGGTTCTCGGCACCGCTGAGCATCGTTTCCATATTTCCTATGGTACCAGCACAGTCCGGATCGTGATGACGAACGAGAACCACTTCGGTTTCGCGAAAACGAACGGCCTCGCTCAGGGTTGGGAGCCTTCAGGCGTCGGATTTCCGCTGTGAGAAGTTCGATCTGCTCTGCTAGCTTCCTTTCACCACTGTTGCTGTACGTTGGTTCGTTGTGCACCATGGCAACTGCGGAGGACTGACCGTTGGAGGCGTTGGTGATCTTGTCTGCCATTTCAGCCAACTTCTCGATGGTACCATCGTGGCATGTGAGAATTGGTCGAATGTTTGCCGGGAGGCGTTGAATGAAAATCATTTTGAGCAGATTGTTATCCACGCCCAAACCCGTCGACAACTCTCTCATCTTTGCTAACAGATGCGTTGGGCGCATATCGCTAGCAGCTGTTCGAAGCGGCTTTCAGCAGACAGGGTGAAGCGAGCAATTAGGCGATCTTTCACTGTTTTGTATTTATTTTCCGCTGGAGGAGCAGCTACAAAATCGGCTATGTGACATATAACCGATTGATCCACTTTGGCCACGATGTGGTAAAACTTGGTTTCATCATTGACGATTTTCGCAAGGTGGAATTGCGCTTCCGATTGCGCAAACCACATAGCCGGATCAGTTTTCCAAAAATCCGGTAGTTTTACCGCGACAGATGCTGCTGCGTTGCTCCCGTTATCGTCCGGCATTTTGAGGTTAGTTTCGGCTTTGAGATCGAATATCGGCGAATAACCGTGAAATCGGACCGAAACTTTTAGATTCGCGACGTCGCGGGTCACCAATGTAGCGATCGGACACGGAATAAAGAACGATTAGTTACGAAAAACTTAAAATCTTTATTTTTACTTTCAATAGAAAAACAATGGGGCCTCCCTTAGCTCAGTCGGTAAAGGCGCAGCTACAAAGCAAGACCATGCTGAAGGTGGCTGGGTTCGATTCCCGGTCCGGTCTAGGAATTTTTCGGGTTGGAAAATTTCTCGACTTCCCTGGGCATAGAAGTATGATTGGACTTGCCACACAATTATACCAATGCAAAAATGGAACAGGCATCGAAAGCTCTCAATTAATAACTGTGGAAGTGCATCTAGAACACTAAGTTGAGAGCACGCAATAAGCTAATATGCGATATGCAATAAGCTTGAAATGCGAAGAAGAAGAAGAAGAAGAAGAAGAAAAACAACCACGTTCGCGCGTTGATAGCTGCGTAGCAAAGATTGACAGCTTGAGTTCTTTTTCTTCGACGACGACCCGATGGCAGCCGGGCTGACCAGTGTTGCCGGGCGATGCCACAAAAGTATAACTGAAAACATGA